AAAAGTAAGCATTTTCCTTCCTCACCCTTTCATTTTGGTCAAGTTTAGAGGCATACAAATTTTCATAATACATTTTATTTTCATTATTTATTTCCTTCTGGGACCTCACCTCTAACCCATTCGCTCTAGTAAGTTTGTTTATTTGAGATCTCCTAGCGTTCATTTTTTCTAATTGCAAAAAATACTTAGTATTTTTCTCACCTAACTCATGCCAGTTGGCCCTCGCTCTAACAATCTGCCCCTCTGCTATTTCGTGTTATTCCTGTTGTAATGATTGTTTTATTTGACTAAATTCATGTAATACTTCAGCAGTAGGGTTTAGGCAAATTTGATCATCTAGAATTTTTAATTTTCGCTCCAGATTTTCTATTTTTACTGTTTGTTTTTTCTTTTTTTCTTTACTAAAAGTTATTGGGTTTCAATAAGCTCAATATAATCAGTGTCTCTCAATAAGCTAGTATTCAATTTCCAATATGAGGGACCACGTACAGTTTCGACATATTTCAAGCTAATGACCGCCGAATGATAGACAGCACACAGGGAACAATTTCTGTTTGAACTACATCACAAATTAGGTAATTATTATGCATAGACTGCAGATTGTCTCAGCTTCTATTTACTAAGTTTCATCAAAATCCAATAGTTTAGATATCAGTGGAACAGCTAAAATTAGCTTTTTATCAGACAAATTAGATTGAGATATCAGTGGACCAAGAAGACTAACTGCAAGATTGACAGGGCATTATTTCAGTATCATCACTATCCAACATCTGTATACAGGTTCTAGAAAATTTTGAAAGATTATAGGAATTTGTAGAAAGTGATGTTCGAACTAGGATGCCAAGCCACATTGCATTATTCAGGCACTCATCACATGCAATTCTGCACCCAATAACTGCAGCCGTACTAAAACAGGCTTCATCTCTAGAAAGTTGTAACAAGTTCTGAATTCATGGTATTGTGTACTCTGTAGTTGGTCAGATTAGTTAGTGTACTCCACAGGATAACATACAAGCGAGTACCATCGTTCAAATATTGAACGATGTGTGGACCCAAGGTCTGAGTGAAGCTCAATATTTGAACCATCATGTGGCAACAAGTACACTATCCGGCTTGCAGCACGTCAATGTCTAGATTATTTTATATAGAACAAGTCATTGAAAATGACAGTCCCCGTTAAATTTTTGAAAGTTTTTAAAGCAGAGGGGTTGTCTCCTGCATGTCCTTGAAATTTGAGTCCCAAGTGGAGTATACAACAGATTATTTACATTAAATTCGAACACATGTTGCGTGACGACCCCTCCAGTTTAAGACATAGCAAAGAAAAACAGATCACAAATGAAAGCACGTCCGAGTTATCACATTTTAAACAAACAAGATGGCCGCCAGTTGGCCATATAATTACTACTTGAATTGACATGTACATGTATCCATTTATGACATGCTAAATATCAATGAAAATGATACATGGGTGACCGAGATATAGTAATATGGCCAAAAATAAAAACGGCCATTATTTGTTCATCTTTGATCTGATTATGAAACAAATTGTCATGGACATGTATCCTAACATGTATAAAGTATGTGCCACATTTGAATCTCTAAGCCACTGCATGTATACATGTCCCACATAAAGTACTAGGCACATGCAAAGAATGAACGGAATCGGTCCAAAGGATTCTGAAATATGATTCCGGACGCAGACCGAAGTACAAGTACAACATCAACCAATCATTTCGAATTTTGTGTTGGTATCGATGTTAACGTACGCTTTAGGATTTGGTTCATACACATTTACACACAGCACAGAATCTGGCCACTGACATAAAAGTCCTGGTAGACAAAAGGACAACCCCATTTCTCCATTCAAACTAAAAAGCACAAAAACAACTTTCTTCATTAATTTATATTTAATTGTCCCACATCAAAGCATGTACAGTGTTATTCAAAGTCGTTCAAAACTTCATGAGATGAGGGTATTGTTTGTTACTCAGAGCAAACTTTGACCGCAAATAACCTTGGAGATGTGGAACTTTTTTGACAAGTGGAACCAGTTGTTTATCAACGATTTTCTGGTCTTCTTTTCTCTCATCAGATACAGAGTACTCCTGAAAAAGATGGAGACATACATTTGTTTGCAAATTACCAAAGCCAGAACAAATGACATATTAGATTTCAGTCAACATAGGTCCAAAAGATTGTGCGTATTTGTGTACATATGTGAAACGCCCAATCATTTTGGGCAAATATGGGCATTAGGGTCAACACAAATGTTATTTTTCCCTAATATTATATTCATGTCTCGCAGGTAAATATACAAACATTGACATCAACAAAAAGTAGTTTGCTATCTGCAAAAACTTGCTACACGGCAACAGATGTTCTTAGAATAAAATGGTGGTACTACAAGCTACATTAATGCAACATCCTCGCCCTTTCAGTACAAGTTTTTTGTGAGAATTCAAGCACTACTTATTGCCATCTCCATTAAATCCAATGAAAATGCTGAGTATGAATTTTCTTACCTCTTTTGCTTCATCAAATATTTCACCCTCTTGATGTCTAGGTTTCTTCAACTTCTTCTTTTTGAAGTATGCGTCAGTAAGTCTTGGTGGTAATTTCACTGTACTGATGTCAACTTTTGTTTGAGTTGCAATACAATAGATCTGGTTGACCCGCCTTAATGGTACACCATTTATTTTCATTGGCCCTATATCAAACAATTGTAAGGTTGAAAAGATATTAAAAGCTGCAATATTGACAAAAACACGTATTTTTTAAATGTTCATAACCACCTACTCTGTAGACCAAAATAGATTATGATTTATAATAATCTAAAAAAGTTGCGTTTGCAATCAAAACCAATAATACAGTGGTGTGCAGTGATTGTTATTAAAACAACTAGTGCACATATGTATTAGAGGATTTCATTGGACAAATACTCAGATATGACAGATCAACCTCTCACGATAAACAACCAATGTAGAACTAGGAATTTTCAAGCAAATTGCCGAAATACGTTCAGCAGGAAAATAAAAAGGCAAGAATATTTTGTTTGCTTGATAAAGTTCCTAGTTGAGATGTTGGGGACACTATTTCGCATCAGTATTCTATGTGTTAAAATAAAATTTAATAAGCGTCCATCAAGATTTCCGCATCATTTGTAATATTCTATTGAGACACATTGCTGAACGCAATTGTGAACTACATCATTGCCATTCTACTAGAATGTAACAGTAACACTTTCTTTGGTCACATCCCCTTTGTACTTTGTCAAACCAATATTAATTTCATTAAACTATCGTTAGTACACTTAATCAAAAATCACACCAACAGTGAAGTGATACATGCAGATAGAGTCATTGAAAGTAATCATAAACCAAAGGTGAATCCAGATACAATGCACTATGTAATCGTGTTCAATGGAAGATATGAAAGTAAACACCAATGGTTCAATTTAGAACGATATTCTTATCTGCTAATATATTTTTGTCAGTATTAATTTTAATGTGAAAATGTTGATGCAAAGTTCCACATTGCTATATTGTATGCAGAAACTCTTGACCACTTACAGCCGTTCTGCGAATTATTCGGACAGCCAATTAGCAAAATGACTTGCAACTTTGCAAAACACTTTGGTCTTTGCCCAATCTAGACTTGTCGGCGCCAGTTGAGTGCCACTTGTGGCGTGTGGTTTACTATTTTATAGGGGTTGTCTGCTTGGTGAATTGCAAGGTATAATCTAGTGTGCCTTTACAGCAAACATTCTTTATTTTTTTTTATAATTATATTGTAATTATTTTCTGTAATTTTGAAAATCACAAGTTGGGTGTTGCTTAAATCTGCCAAAAAATATCAACCCCTCGCTCATTTTAGTCAGTTGTACCTGTTACAAAAATGGAATAGACATAATAACAGTCGTTATACAGTCATTTTCAAACTGCAGTTGAAAAAGTGATTCGATCAAGGAAGACACTTTTGATTTGACAAAGTCCATCAAACCGTTATAATAGAGTTTTCCGTCTGTGTATCCCCGACATACTCTCCCACCCCGGTATAAAATCTGAATTTTATACATAATGTACCAGTAATGTAAAAATAACTTTTAGTTTGTCCAAAACTGTTGCGAAACTGCAGCACGTCCAAGGCTAAGAATCTTTACTTTGAGCCTTCCCGTCAATGACTAGTTCATTAATACCTGGGGTTACTCAACACTGTTTTGTAAATTGCGCTATGTCAGGTGGACTCAGATGGTTATAACAATTTAAAAACACTTTGAATGCATATACAACAATATCTGTCAATATATGGTAACCAACGCATGTCGTTTTGAAAGATAATAGAATGATTCCAATTGTGGGCGTGCCAATACAACGACGCCATCAAGTCTAGATTGGAAAAGACCCAAGTGTTTTGAAAACTTCCAAGATATATTGCTAACTGACTGTCCAAATAATTTTCAGAATGGCTGTAAACATATTTTCATTGTACTAATATTTAATGCAAGCACTGTTTGCAGATTTAAAAAAAACAAACATTCTAATCACTTACAAAGAATTCCATTTCATGCACTTGGAAAACACAACTGCGCAAAATTTTGACTTTTGACTTTGTCTGAACTTGATAAATAAATGCATTTATAAATTTCATATCAATGACATTTGTAAATGGATAAGAAAGCATAACATTCTCACCAGTGACCAGCAGTAAACCTGATGGGAACTGTTTAAGAAACACCACTCTATTGCCCTTGTACTTTCCAGCTACCATGATCAGAACTGTGCCCGGAGTGATGCTGGCTCGTAGGCGATGTTTATGTTCAGAGAATGGTTTTTTTGAGATGCGTTTCCTTTTAGCAAGTTCTTCAGTTGGGTAGTAACGGGGCTGAAGAAAAAAATTATTTCTTTAATAAAGGATGAACATGTTCAGTGGTATCTCAGAAATAGATGATAGAAACCAGTCTCTTGCAAATGCCTATACAAATATGCATTTCAAATCAAGCACAAATGTAAAATCAAAAGGTTTATCAAGGGTGGCAAGAATATAATCAGAAATTATCAAACATTTACAATGTACCAATTGCTCTGTCATGTAAACTTACCTGTCTTTTCACACGGACTTGACGTTTACCTCCATTTTTGTCACCACCAATTTGTTTTTCAATAAATTTTGGTGATGCAGCCTTTTCTTTCTTAACAACAGTCTGTAAATCAAGACAATAAATTATAGTGTTAAATATGAAGTCACACAAATGGTCAAAAAGAACAAAATTAGCATTACCTGCTACTACCGTTAAAGTCCTATTATAAACTGCGGTTTATATTACAATGTATCAATTTAAAAATTGGGATCAAAAGCTCAAGTTCGGGGTGCGGTTTCTATTACGTACATATTGCAATCACTAAATGGGCGTGGTCATTTTTTGTCCACAACACATGCACAAAATAAACAATACACCGTACAATCTCTTGAATAGGCGTCGGGGAAGAGTGAAAGGCCTTATTTTGGTTCTAAAATAGGCGTTACGAAATGTTGAAAAATTACAGTCAATCAAAAAAAATCTACATGATACAAAAAATACTCAGTATTTTTAATG